CACACACACACACACACACACACACACACACACACACACACACACACACACACACACACACACACACACACACAATGTGCACATGCAGTAACAAACAACGAACAACACCAGCAGATTCAGAGGATGAGCACGGCTCACAAACAAGAAAGATGACAAGTGTGCATTGGAGTGATGACAGGTGTGCATTGGAGTGATGGCAGTATTGCACTGCAGTTGGGGTAGCATTGCATTAAACACTAACGTCACTGGAAACTATCCCCAATACCAATCACAATGATGAACTGTCTACAAACCTGCAGGACTACGTGGGTGCTTGCACTGACTTAGATCTGCAAAGCACCCATTGCACCCGTTTCATCCGGTAGAAGATGAGTGATATGTAGCTACGATATCACGGTGATGTTGCCCATACCACGGTGACGTGGCCCCCTACACACTGAAGCTGACAGCAGGCAGATGGAGTGCTCTTCCAGCTGACTATCGACAGGCCCAGTCTCTTGCTCTGTTCATCAACATGGTTAAACTTCACCTAGGGTTCCCAGTGCGTGCGTGCAAGTGCACACACGTGTGTGTGTGTGTTCTGATAATTGCTTTACTCATGCAGGTTGTACAGTGTGTTGCTGACATCATTCTGGTGCTTGCACACACGCCATTGTTTCATTTCAGTATGTGTACTGGTATACACACAACAGAAAAGAAAGAAAGCAATCCACACAAGCGCATGGCTTAACATGGCTTCACACTGCTCCGTGCCTTTGTGCAGCACTGGTGATTGTCGCTTGAGACTTACAAAGGGAGAGCCGAGGTCGTCACTGCGTTTCCGGGGTGAGCTGCCAGCCACGTCAGTACTGTGACGTGGTGATGTTGACAGTGTTGCATGAATAGCCTGTATGCATGACGTGATACATCAGCAGAAATAAAACACGCACGCACGCACGCACGCACACACACACACACACCCACACACACAGATAAAGAGCATGTGGTTCGCGGCAATCTCATCGCAAACATCCTGTGAATTCCACGCTAGACTTTGTGTAGTTTGCGGACATGCCACGGGAGTCGGGTGCTTTGTGCAGTATGTGAAGTATGTAAATTTCCTCCACAGGGCAGGGCTATATAATTGTATGGCGCGTAAATTTCCTCCACAGAGCAGGGCTATGTATGGTGGCGATGCTTAATCCGCCATGCTGACATGATCACATTTGACGGGGATCGAGTGACCACAGTCAATATTAGTGAGGTCCTGGTCTACGTGACGGGAACGCAATGCAAAGGTTTGCGTACCGTAATGTCGCGTATCAAACAAAGCCTTATACCTGCAGAAACCCATGTCAGGGGTAGGCTTGTATTCACATCAGGCTTCCATACAAGGCAGGTATTTCTATGTGTGTCAACACTAAAACCAGGCTTATGTGCCGACAGTGTATCTTGAAAATCAGGCTTGTATTCAAAACAGGCTTGTATTCAAAACAGGCTTCTACATGAGACCGGCTTTAATACAAGACACTACGGTATGACTGTGTGTTCTTGGGCTTGACATATTGCACACAAGATGTTCTGCTTCACGCTCACACAAAGAAATCACATGGAATGTGCAGTAGAAATTTCCGGTTCCAAACATGGCAGTTTCTTGGCGGACTGCTGCCAAGCTTGAGTGACACACACTACATTGTACATCCAGAAGAAATGAGGGCCAAAATTCAACCCAGCATGAGCCATGATTTATGCCTCACGCCGATCAATGTAGAAAATTGCAGACCTGCTGAATGCCATGTCGTATGAATCGTACAGGACTTTACAGCTCGGCCAAGCCTCCCCGACAGACTCTTACGTCCCACACAGCCAGTGTCACGTCGAATGTGAACTAGGCTGTATGTTCGACAAGGGAAGGTACACTTTAAAAGTAATGATAACGATGTGTTCGTTCTTACCCGTGCAATTAGTCCCTTTTTATGCTTCTTGCGATCCAGTAAGGACATATTCTCCCTGTCGGCAATACTTCCTGGCACACCCATTGACAGTGTGGGACTGTAACACAGGGAGTAACACAGGTAACACAGGGAGTAACACAGGTAACACAGGGAGTAACACAGGTAACACAGGGAGTAACACAGGTAACACAGGGAGCATAGAAGCATACATATCAGTAATTAGAAATAAACTTGCATGCTGTATTATTGATCCCACACAAACAACTGACATACTCCTATGTACTACAGATCAACGCTCAATACGAGTCCCAACACTGCCTCTGAGTACATCGACGACGCTGCCAGCATAAAAACACCAGGCTAAGCGGCCTGGCCGTTGGAGCGGTTGGGCTGCTCACAAGTTGATGGATCTGCTGTGGCCTGCCCAACCCTTGCACGTACCGCCCACACAGCGCTCCATACAAAATGCGAGGGGCATGCACCAACAAGGGGGTACAGAGCAGACCTGTATAACATTCAGGAGCAAATAATCTCAGCAGCATACTGGCTACACACTGTGTGCTCTTTGCTCTGTCTTTGCAGTGTGTGCTCTTTGCTCTGTCTTTGCAGTGTGTGCTCTTTGCTCTGTCTTTGCAGTGTGTGCTCTTTGCTCTGTCTTTGCACCCCAAGCTACATGTAGATACGTGACCAGGGGTGAACAGGGGTCAACAGGGGTGAACAGGGGTGAATGCGATTTTACTGCTCCTAAGTCGAGCAAGTCACCTGCTGGGAATGCCTTGCAAGGTTGATTCCTTGATGGTCAGATTTGTCGCGGAGTCAGTGGAGTTGAATGAGAATCCATCAGCGCTATCCCTCATGCGCGACGCTGATTCACTTCGCACACGCTACACAGGAGATGCAAGAGCAGCAGGACAAACAGCAGCGGCAAAGGAGACGTTATGCCATAGCGGACACAGTCAGTGCACAGCATGTCAGTTACGTCAATAGCTACACCCCCCCCCCCCCAGGACCAGCAGTTCAGTCACAGTATTCCCGCATTCAAGCACTGTCATACACGAGAATACAGTGCACTCTGAAGTACATGTTTACCTAAACTCCTATTGAAAAGTAGCAACGGGTAAATAAATCCCTTCTGATGGAAAGAAAAATAGGAATGAACTGCAGCAATTCAAAATGGACTGGATTCGGACCTTGATCAATGTCTTTATGACTATTGCTTACGGATGAAGTATCGTCACTGGAGAGCGATGGTGTAACACCGCACGACACACTGTCATCTTGGCAGCTGTCAGCCCGTTCCATAGCAGGTGATAATGGGCGCATTGCTGACTTGAGCAAGAAGGAACGATTCAGACTGGACAGCGATGACATGCTTTGATCCTCCTCAGGACTACAAAGAGCAAATGTGCACACACACATATACACATATACACATGCACACACACGCACGCACGCACACACACACACACACACACACACACACACACACACACACACACACACACACACAGAGGTCGATGCACACATGTTAGGACACAACTTAGTACGCATGGGCACACGTCACATACTTTCAATGCAGTGTTGATGATTGTGACCAACTGGCAGTCAGAAAATTGACGCCTCATACAATAGATGCAGGCGCCGGTGCTTCAAATTTGCTGGACCGCCACAACCCATACAACAATACACTGTATTGTGTAGCTCTAGCTCTACACATACCAGGCTGGGCAGTGTTGAAATTATACAAAGCACCACCATGTGTACTTGCATTGTGTGAAGTATGGCCAGGTGTTCGGACTACGGCACTCGCACTGCACTCATCACGTATACTCATACATAAATGTACTGTTGAAGAATGAACATATCATGCAGTAGTGTGCAACATCATATCTTTCCCCTCCCCTTAGGTTTAGTGTACGATTACACAGTATACTGCATGCACATGTATTTAGGACCAGTGCAGGGACGAGTCCTACACATGGCGTTCTCCCCACTACCAGTCCCACTGCACTGCACTGTACTGTACTGTACAGCTACTGCATTGCACTGCAAAACCACAGCAATGCACTGAACTTTACTATGAACGGAGGCAATACACTCGCCCCGAGACTCTACCTTGAAATGCGATGGTGAAGAGAATGGTCACTGCTAATGCTGGCCGTCGGTGTGTTCTTCACGAGGGACATGCGTTGAGGCCGGACACCATTACTTCCAGATGATTCGCCGGATGTGCGCCGGTCTGCAAAGCACATCCTCTCGTCACCGGACGAGGAACGCTTCTGATTGTCAACAAGAGCGGAGTTTGAAGTAGTGCTACTGTGATTCTCTTGTTTACGCAATGCCCAGCCAACTCCGATTAAACTCCTGAGCCGAGACTTCACTTTAGAGATATTTCTAGAGCCAGTCGCTTCTGAATCGGTCTTCTCACTGAGGCTGCTGTTAGACAAGCTCCTGTTCTCAAATGTCAAGCCCAGAAAGTCAGCCTCTTCCCCAGTGCCTGCTGACTGTGTTACGGAGAAAGACTTTGAGCGCGAGCGAGCCGTGTCAGAGTGATCATCAAAGGACTTAATAGCAGCAATAGAATGTCGAGGCCGATGGTTAAAACCATCTACTGGCCGTAAGCCATCGGCGGCAACCTGCTCCCTGGAGCCACGTCCTGATTGTGCAGAGATTCTCTTCTTCATTGAGCTGGTCCTGGACGACGAAGCCGAGTGACATTTTATTGGTCTTTTAGATTCCACTTCTAGCTTCTTCTCCTTCTGCTCCACGAGGAATTGCTTCTCACGTCTACGCCACTCCTTCATGCGCTGTTCATACGTACTTTTGGTCTGTTCATACGTACTTTTGGTCTGTTCATACATACTTTTGGTGCTTCTTTTCCCGTGATCTTCTGAAATGCCAGCAGATCTATCCACACTTCGATCTCCTCTCCTTCTGCTTGACGCAGCAGCATTGTTGTGCGTTGGCAGGTCAGATGACAGGTCGGATCCAGCAGTGTCTTTACCCAGGTGAACAATAGGAGGGTGACTTGAGGAGCGCCGTCGTCTTAGCTTGACACCCCAGAAGCCAGACGCTAGCGGCACCAGGGTTTCTGCTGAATTGGGCCCAACGCGGCGCCGACTCTGCACTTCTTCCATGAGCGTTGTTGGCGAGCCTGAGCGCGTGCGATGACGGTAGTTGGACGATGACGATGTACGCCGGTCAGGTACCCGTCCAGCTGGTAGCCTGGCCACTCGTACTGGGTTGCCAACTTCTGGTCCAGATAACGCCTGCCTGACGCCCTGCATAGCACAAACGAGAGTGGTTGAAAAAAAAAGTCGCAATGGGGGAGACACTCAAGGTTGGGATAATTGGGAAAACTGGGAATCTCCTTGAAGATGTGTTTGACTGCGTAGACATGTATGTCATGCTGGGAAAGTGTAATCCACATGGATGTGTGAAAGTCCCGTTAGGCCCTTTCACACATCCACACCACCACAGAAAAGAGATTACTGTCGATATCAACTCAGCTGTACATGCATCCCCCCCCCCCCCCCCCCACCATCATAGCCTATTAGGCACGTTCACGGGACACAGCCAGAAAGCAAAACAGGAAAGAAGAGGAAAGAAACGACAACTCCCCTTTCAAAGTACTCTACTAGGCAGTGATTTCTCCAAAACGGTTTCCCATGCCATGGCACTCGATACCGGTAGTGACTTGGATTTAATACAAGAACAAACTTAGAGTCACTCTTTACCGCGTTGCTGCTGCCGCTATCCACTGGCAAAGTGAGCATTTCAAATTGATCTTCCGACTGTGAAGAGGTGCAGCGGCGGGTGAACTTCACGTCCACTCCCCACTGCCGGTTGCTGTACAAAAAGAGCAGAAAGAAGACATTGCCAGTGGGTGTTGGTAGTGCAAGCAACAAGGACAGCTTAGCCAAGACCAACAGGCACAACACAGGAATAGGCAGGATGCAATCTCTACTGTACTTGCTAAACCATGGGCACACACTTTCAAACAACAACCAGTAACATGCTGCACTACAGATTAAAAGTATGGTCTAAAACCAAAAGTTCACTACTTGTAGTCTTTTGGGTACTGAGTAGAATGCTCTTGGTCCGACGAAGCTGAGATGCTCCCTTCGTTCTATATTCACAATCGAATCCGCGCACTTCCCCGGAACTGAGTGAAATTCCCAGAACGTGTAGTCTTCTGGACGCTGAGACCAATGGTCTTGGTTTGAGGAGGCTGAGATATAGCATTCGGCCTTTATTCCCAATCAAACGCGGTCTCATACTCCGCCCCATACTGATGTGTACACCATTCATCTGGTTACTATGCCAGTGCAGTGCACTGTGCAGGCAACAACCCGCAGTACCTTGTGTGCCTCGAGTGCAGTCATACAGCATCCCATAAAGAGTCTTTACCGCCCTGAATGGACTCTTCAGTCTCAAGTGCAGTGCATGGTGAACTCTTCATGGTCACACACCCTTTGGATAAGCAGAAGAGTCCATTCAGGGCATTATGGGCTCTTTATGGGATGCTGTATGACTGCACTCAAGTCATACAAGGTACTGCGGGTTGTTGCCTGCACAGTGCACTGCACTGGCATAGTTACCAGATGAATGGTGTACACATCAGTACGAGACCGCATTCGATTGGGAAAAAAGGCCAAACACTGCATCTAAGCCTCCTCAAACCAAGACCATTGGACTCCGCATCCAGTAGACTACACGTCCAGGTAGTTCCACACTCATCCATGCCTCTAAAGTATAAGAACGGAGTGGCGCTTTCAGTGACATTTCCGACACAAATCCCTATCTTGTAGGACACACTCACTCAGTTTCGGGGGAAATGCACAAGTACAATTGGGGATATAGGACGAAGGGAGCATCTCAGCTTCCTTGCACCAAGATCATCCGACTCAGCCATCCAAAGACTACACACTGTGATGAGTAACAAGAGTGCTAAACCAGAGTGTCAGACTGTGTGACTCCGTCGGTGGGGGGGGGAGCGTAATTCTTCGCTTAGACCTTTTTCAACAGCAGTGTACAGTACAAACTGATATTGCAGATCAAACTGATGAAGTGCAACAGTACAATCACAGATTACAGCTTCCATTATTCATGAAGAAAAGCCGTAGACTACGATTTCCGCTGTCCAGAACCCAATGCAGAGTTTCACACTCTGGTTTGTGTACTCTTGTTAGTAGCAAGAGTGCATCCCCCCCCCCCCCCCCCCGCCATTTGATCCTGCACAAACGAGTGCTAGCAAGCACATGTGTGGTGGGCTGACACCTTTGTACAAACGTCGGAAATCTTGCCTGCAAGGTGCACTGCATCATGAAAACGTTGTCAACTTGAAATTCTGCTGGCGCAGTGCTGCATGCAGGAGTTGCACACTCAGGGTGGGGACTACATCGTATGTACTATTGTCGGTAATGATACCAGGCCAGTATAAAAATGACAAATAGACATACCTTAAAGGCTTCTGATTGTCGCAAGAGTCACTGCGACTTATCATAAGAGCTTGGCGGTGCAATCCCGGAGGAGAAGCCAGATCACTTGACTGAGAGTGGCGGAGATTTGTTTGTTCTACCCATCGGGCTCGCAGAGATGTGGAGGACAATGATGTTCCTGGAAGGTCAAAGGCCGATCTGTCAGACTGCCGTGATGATGATGATGAGTAGCCGTCCGAAGCAGTGTACTCCCTCAAGCTCTGATTACTCTCAACACTAGCAGATAAGCTATCAACTTGACTCAATCGACATCGCTCTAGTGTGGGAGTAAGCAGGGGACTAGTAGTACCGCTACGACTTATTCCACCACTCGCCACCTCCATAGCAGGGAGGGGTCGATTCCGTGACACTTTCAGGCTGGCACCGTTAGCAAGGGGATCGTCTTGGCTGTCAAAACTGGCCCCCATTATTTCTACTCTACTAATAGCAGCAGCAGCACTGTCAGATACCAGCGTTGCCGGTGCGGTGTTTAGGCGGCTGCCAGGTACTGGAATACTCGGTGTCCTGGAGTGGGTAACCTCGGATGAACTGCTGCTCCGCGGCCGCGATTTTAAGTTCTGCAGTATGTGATGCGAGTCGCAGGAGTTGGATGCAGAGGATGCTCTGCCGTTGGGTCGACTTGACATTGGCAAACTATAAAGTTGCGTCGTGCCCGCGTGATTGCACGAGAGCATCTCGTCGACACCAGATATGCGTCTTGAACTGCTTCCTTCAGGGGGAGGGTTGCCTGACAAGGCTCTGGATGCTCTGCTTCGAGATGACTCTAACAATCTCAACGTCAGACTAGCAGTCACTAGGTGCTTGAGGCGGTTCCTAACTCTGGAAATCGGTTTGCTTTGCAGGCTTTCTAGAGCTCTATATTGATCATCGGACTGTGATCGTTGGGATCTGTTGCTGGACGAGGATTCCTCACTCTTCAGGCTCATTTTCTCATCTGATACATCTGCCTCTTTCCCCAAAGACATCGACTTGGAGCGGGTGCGCACCAGTGGCCTAGCTTTTGGCGACGGTCGGCTGCAGGTTGACGATGGCACTGTATCAAAAGATCGACCAAGCCTGAAAGAAATTGCAGGCGCTGAAGGATCGGCACTGCTGGCAGGTGATGACCTTACTTTGACAGGACTATTGATGGGACTGGCTTTCACAGTAGCAGACGCACTAACCGTACACTCCTCCAGAGACCAAGAGGTTTGAACAGACACGGGTAAAGACCGACTTTTGGTCATTTCCTCTTCTTCGCATGCCAGCCAAGGCTCGTGTTGTTTCTTGTCCTTTGCTAGTGCACATGGAGGATGCTGGACGCTGGGTGACGGTGGAGCACTGTCAGCAGTACCGAGAGATTTGGGATGCAGCGCGAGTTCAGCACTTCTTCTCGGGCACCGCAAGGGCCGTCCTTTCCTGACGAGTGCTTGTTTCTCCCGCTCCCGCCACTCACGTATCCTGGCTCGGTATGCTTCAGCATGTTCGCTCTGTCCAATACCTATTTTGTCATCGGATGTGGCTGAAGGAACGCTTTGTGGTGCTGCCTCTGGCCCCGATTCTGTTGCATTCGCTGGCATTGCTGTTGATGATTCTAACGTGGGTGCATTTGCTGGTGTCGCTGTCAATTCGCCTAAGTTGGCTGCTGTACGATTTTCCGCCGAAATAACTGGAGATCTGTCTCGATGTTGCAAGCGTAAACCAGCCTGTGAAGTCTTTCTGTGTGGCTCCTGTGGGGGTGGTTGTTTGATCAAATTCATGGAGCGCTGTCGCCGTAACTGGACACCCCAAAAGAGAGGCGCCGAGTTCAGCAGCGAGTTTGAGGTAGAGTCCAGCATTGGCGAGCATTGTTGATCGCGCTCCTTGTGGCTGTGGATGTCTGATGACACATTCATACATGATGTAGGTGCACCATGTGATGACGGTGCGAATGCAGGCTGGATGACGGGCTGCTGCAGCCACACACACATACAGACGAACACATACTAATTATAATTATATGCAGAAAAGTAGAGATAGAGATAGATAGATAGATAGAGAGAGAGAGAGAGAGAGAGAGAGAGAGAGAGAGAGAGAGAGAGAGAGAGAGAGAGAGACTGACAGAGCACACACACCGCTCGCTCACGGTGTGTGCACATGTGTGTGGGCGAGTGAGTGTGTGTGTGTGTGTGTGTGTGTGTGTGTGTGTGTGTGTGTGTGTGTGTGTGTGTGTGTGTGTGTCTTGGCCGTTTTATGCCGATGTACTCCGTGTGGTGTAGACCAGGTGTGCATTGGTGGTCAAGTCACATGGCTTCGCAAGTTGTGTGGATTGGGCAGTTACCTGGCGCTAGTCTTGATCTGTCTCATTCAGATCTTGTCTGCTATCGTTGCTATAAGAGAAAATCTGCGGGCAGATTTGCGTTCTTCTCTTGCGATGGGCGTACATTGGTACATGGTGTGTGTGTGAGTGCGAGTGTGCGTGTGTGTGTGTGCCCATGTATGTATGTGTACGTGCTTGTTTGTTTGTTTGTGTATCCTGCTTGTTTGGTGCTTGATGTTCACAGGTGAAAGTTGAGTTCATTGCTGGAGACAGCATTGCACTATTGCAATGGAGACTACTCAGTACATGATGCCCTTTTGACTTATTTCTGCATTCTCAGACTGTGCCATCCTTACAGAACCAAACAGAAAGAGAAACGTATGAGCTGTTGGCTATCATCGAAACTTCCTTATTGCCACAACGCCAAGGCATCCCAGGCAAGTAACTTGTGCAGTCCAAATGCAAAACGCTACCGTGCACTGAACTCTGTAGACACAAGTCAGTCCCACAACGTCTTTGAATCTGACAAAGGCATGGCGCCTCATGAACACCACTCGCGATGGCTGTGCACCTGCAGTGCTGGTTATCACACTCACAGTGCTGCCTTGCACAAGCTACATGACACTACAATCATGTTAGCTACAATCATGTTGACTGCTAGCATAGTTCAAATTGTCTAGGAAGTGATTCACAGGCACCAACAGCTGAGAAAGAGTGTGTGAGGCTGTCCGCAATTGAAAATTCGTGCATATTTGCTCAGTCCATACAGCAGACCCACGAAGAGACTTCTCTTGAAGAGTATTGATCATTCTCCAACTGAATCAGTCTGGCAACAAGTACTAACAACTCTTACCTTGGACATGCTGTAACTTGAATGTGTCAAGCTCACAATCACAGCCAAATCAAAATCGATCCATCAGAAGACGTAAGTACAGACTTGGCCAATGGCCGCAGAATTCCTCAGTGGCCTGGCAGGAAAACACTTTCGGCAAGTTCACATTTAGGCATTGTAGGAGAAGGGCGATCTACCTAGGACAACTGTGGCTTGGGACTTTCAGCACGAGAGTCTGTTGGCGAAAACCACAATTGCCTGAAGTCCCGTACAAACCAGCCCACAACATGACTTGCAACGCCTTTCACTGATTGTACCAGACACACAAAAAATTGAGTGCACTTTCCTTTTCGAGCTCCTGCTGTCGTCAGGGACAGGAACTCAGGGAGTGGCTCCGGGCTGCATGCATACTGCATACAGGAGATCCGGAGATGAAATCACGCCGGAAAGGGCATGACTTCCGGAGTTCCGCTGATCGTGGAACGGATGCATCGGATTATCGACTCGGATCGGATGGCTGGCTGCGCGTCATCATGTGACTTCAAATTATTATTTCACCGTATAAAAAAAAACATTGACCGTATATCCCAGGCCCCGGCCCCGACCCGAGTTCCCGGCCGACCCGTATCATGGCGTATGCACTATTACTATCAAGAGTACATGAAAACCGGGTTTTCATGTACTCTTGGTACTATGCAATCTACCCGTATAGTATATAGTAGGTCTACGATAGTTTTTTTCTCTTTTTTTTTCTCTACGATATCGATAGTAGATCTACGACACCATGCGCGTTGAGCAAATTTTCTTTCTTTTGAAACTGTTGACACAAGTCATGGTTAATTTGCTTATTAAATTTTATTCCCGTAGCTATGCAGAAGACGTTACTTCAGTAACGTCTGGCGCTAGCCAGGGTCCACACGGCTTTAATTTGGTATTTGTGTGTGTGTTTGTTTGTTTGTTTGTGTCACGCCTGGCGCTATCCGTATCTGACGGCAAAAAAGCATAAGATGTTATGTCAATTCTCCTTTTTTCAGGCATATCCTGGGATTCGAACCCGCACTATCGCCCTACATGCATTCCTCCATACACTTCGCATTCATACCCATTCTTCCAAGTTGCTTCACGTTATTATCTTGCGTTTGAAAGCCCTATTTGAATATTGTGGGCAGCTGTATATGTGGCCAGCTGTACTGTGTTTGATGGTACGGTACGGTACGGGAGACGGTGTCGTATTACCCTCGATCGTACCTGTCCCGTACCTATCCCCTACCGTACCGTGCCATCAAAGACGGCTAGCGCGGCTGGCCACAATGCATATTCAAATAGGGCTTTCAAATGCAAGATCACAATGTGAAACAACTTGGAAGGCTCCCTGGTAGTACATTGGGTACTGCACTTGCCTGCGACCCGAGAGGTCGCGGGTTCGAGCCCCGCAGTTGCACATCTGACTGCAAAATCCCCACGACGCAGCTCACCAGATCAAGGTACTAGGTGTGGGTCCTCTGCACTCAGTGGAGTCGAGTCGAGCGAGCTGCAACTCCCGGTGCCGAAAGGCGGGCTCACGCCCCGACATGGCTACTTCCCCTTGTCTAACCCCCAAGACGAAATGATAGAAGCCGACTGGCCGAAATTAAAAAAAAAAAAAAAAATTAGTAATGTCTGTGGTGCCTCCATGGCTGGTAGCTGGTAGCTCGGCCTATTTAGCTCGGCCTATTTAGCTGTGGTGCCTCCATGGCTGGTAGCTGGTAGCTCGGCCTATTTAGCTCGGCCTATTTAGCTCGTAGCTGTACTGATGAGGCCATTATGGCCGAAACAGCTTGCTGTCTACAGCATTGGAAGAATTAGTATGTATGCGAAGTGTATATCGGGGGATGCATGCAGGGCGCGCGATAGTGCGGGTTCGAATCACAGGTTATATCTTAAAAAAAGGAGGATTTTTTTAAAGAATTTATAACATCCCTATGCTTTTTTTTGTCTAGGTCATCAAGGCATAAAAAGCCCTGAGCTTCCAAGCTTAAATTTTATTTCTACCCTTCCTCTCTCCGTACTTCTGTCCCCCCCCCCCCCTCTCTCTCTCATTCCTTCTGTCGTCCACATGTATCAAAGGAGGCGAAATAGCCTGTTTGTGGTGCGACGTTAAATAAACTTCTACAACAACAACAACATGGGGGCCGGGAAGACCACGGACATAGAGCTCTAGGGGCTGAATAGGACAGGTCCCAAAACAGAGACCCCTGCGGAACACCCTGCGTACATGGCACGCGTGGCAGGCCATCTGGTGTTAAACCATGCCAGAGCCGAGTAGTAGTAGTAGCAAGAGTACATAAACCTTTATGTACTCTTGGTAGTAGTAGTAGTAGAATTTATTATTTTGATAGGGAAGGCCCTACAGACGTTGCCGTCTTGTTACAGGGAACCCTAAGTGCTCTTTACAGAGCGAAACAAAAACGGATAGATGCTCAACCTGACGACACGAGACAGGCAGAGAATTCCACCTATCAGCGCCAAGGAAAGAAATAGAGAACATGCCATATCTAGTGGTAGCAGCGAGGAAAGAAAGTGAAGAGAATGATTGCCCTCTAGTGCGCCTCTCGGTGCAAGTAGCAGCCGACTGGAGGGTGAACATTGAGGAAAGAAGAGGACTTGTAAGCTGATGAATACAGCGGAAAACAAAAAATAAAAAGCCTCAAGTTGAGACGAGATTCGAGGGAGTATAACTTAGCGTGCCGCAAAACAAAGACAGTCGGGGTACGGCGAGGGAGACCAAAAACCTTTTTCATGCTGATATGACTTAAAGTACCGAGTCACCAATCCCACAATCAAAATAACTCATTCAACAGCAACTGGACGCTGTCGAATGCCTTCTTGACATCAGCAAGCACTACGCCAACAAGCTTCCCATTATCCAATTAATTGGTTGTATACGTGCTTCTCGAGGACTTTGCTAGCAATCGGTAAAAGTGAAACAGGTCAGTAGTGGCGCGGTTCAGAGCGGTACCCGCCCTTGAAAAGTGCTCTCACGGATGCATGCTTGAAAAGCGCGGGAAACTTACTTGCTTACTTGCTCTCCTCACGAATTGATGCCCTGAGAAGGGCACACAGGGAGCCTGCCATCACTTCCGGTAGCTGTGCGCATGCGACACACAACAGGAGACTCAAGAGGACACGAATAGTAGTACATGAATACTGGACGCTCCACTGTGTGTGTTCTGCACCCTCTTCACGCCCCAAGGCTGCTCGTGATGTACATGCACTAACGTTACCACAGACTAGTGCAGGGAAGCTTGACACATCGACTCTCAGTAAGTCACAAAAAATAAGTGGCATGTAAATTGTTACCATGGTTATGTCACTTATGTGCCAGAGATAAGGATATGGATATAAATAAATAGCAGTACATGTCCGGTTAATGTTGTTCACTTGAATTCATTGCGGTCTGTTCGGGCAGTTAGTAGCCGTTACTCTGGGCCGAGCTCCACTGATGAGACCTCAGCATGGGGTCGAAACAGCTTGCCGCTAGTGTCCGTGAGAGATTCCCTCCCAGTTTCACTTGTCCAAGCCTCCAAGCCTCCAAATCCAATGTCCACGGGGTCTTTTTTTAATGTTTATTGGCCACTGGCTACTACATGATATGTATCCTCATGATACTACAATGTACATTGTACATATTATATATATTTATTACAACATCTCAAGACTCGGTGGAAACACCGGCCAATGTTAAGAGAGTGGGTGATTGCCAACCACGGCGATAAAAAAATAAATAATAATAATAATAGCACATTTCGCGTAGTAGAGCACTAAATAAAGAAATTCAGTGTTTTTTCCGCTTCTGTCTTGTGAGCATCATCAGCTAGGTGTAGTAGCTGCTGATACTGATTTCTCTTCGGGTGTCGAGCTGCACAGTTTCTTCCAGTCTGTCTTGTCTGCTGCTTGTTGTCGGCACCTGGAAAGGTCTTCCATGGTCTTCATTGGCACACCCAGCTTATTCAGCTGAGCGACCAGACTTGTGGCCAGTGTCAACCTTTGTCGTCCACGAGGTGCATTGTTGCCCTTGTCAAAATAGCCGCTCATGGCTACTTGCGGTGGCGTGTCCGTGTCCATCCGTAGCACATGAGTGATGTGTCGCTTTGTTTTGCTCTAATTGGTGCTTTTCTCCAATGTCATGCAGTCGTATTTATTCAGCTTTTATTTCTTGTGTACTTGCATACTGGTATTAGTTTAGTCCCACAATCTGCGATAAAATGATCAGCTGTAGCACCTACTCCACTTTTATGTTTATGTATCTATGTCATTCGGATCTTCCCAAGTTGTACAATGTACTGTTGAGATACCGAATTCAAATAAATCAATACCATACCATACCATACCATGGCCGGTCATTCGTAGTCGCCTACATGCAACTGTGTCTGATATAGGGTTGCTCTTGGTTCTGCGGTATAGGTTGTCGTTTGAGATTGTGTCTGGGTATCGTATTCCAAGTAGTGATCGCATTTGACGCCGGTGGAATGCGTCTGCCTTGGCCATTGCTGTTGACGATAATCCCCAGGTCTCGCAATTCACGGTACAGGAATGTCGGCAGTACGATAGCGTTGTACAGGCGTAAGCGTGTCTTCTCCGCTACTTTATCTCTACGCAGCCATAGGGCGTACAGCTGGCCAAACACGCGAGAGGCAAGTTCCATCCTGCGCCGAACATCCTATTCCTCCCCCAGGAGCCAAGCTGCCTAGATGTCCGCAAGCTCTCGGATTCAGGTGACACACGGATCCACTCTGTTTTATCTGGATTTACTTTTAATGACCAATCGTGCAGTGTGTCTGCTATTACAGGCAGAGCGTTCTCAAGCCACAGCCTGCAGGTTGAATAATAGGAGATGTCATCTGCATAGCCCGTCTCTGGTGGTAGACTTGCGTCGCCGGCAGGGCGGGGCGCGAGACGAGTTCTGCATTCCTGTAGTGCAGCCTCCAGATAGCAGATGAAGAGAACTGGGCTGAGACTGTCGCCTTGTGGTGTTCCGATAGTGCTCTCAAACGGTTCAGCTGTGGCACTTGCAACCTTAACAGTGATAGTTGTGTTGTGGAGTAGGTGGTGGATGAGACATGTGCAATCTGGATTGGTGATTGCAGACATCACCTCCAGTAGCTTCAGGCGGTTAATCGTATCGAACGCCTTGGACATACGATAAATAAAAATAAGGGGAGGGAAAACGAAAGAGTAGCAAAATGAACAGCAACAACAACTCCGTAAAGAAAGATAATGTCAAATAAAAATAGTGAAAAACACAGAGACGCAAAGGACATGTGGATAATGAGCTATT